CTAAATTGTACCTATAGAAAGCCACAGTGGAAAAAGTAATGATTCTGGAATCAGAGTGCTTGTCTTCATATCCTGTCTCTGACACTATCTGTGTGACGTTGTAAAAGTCATTATACCTCTATGGGCCTCAGTTTCCCTATCAGTAAGTGAAGGGGATTAGACTGAATGGCCTTTGGGATCTCTTTCAGCTTTATTCCCACAATCTACTCTCTATTCCTATGATGGTTGGGACATCTTTAAGGTCCATTTTAGCTCTAGTGCCTATGAACATTTAGCAACATCAATATACAATAACCGTCTGTTGCTTCAAGAATTTTACCTTTCAAATTTCATGAAGTAAGCTGGGGAATACAGCTTACCCAGTGAATAATAAACTCTAATTTACAAACAAGTCAAGAACACAGGAAGTCAGAATTTCAGTAGCTCATCATGCAAGAGGTTGTAAAATTATAGTTTGTGCAGGGACTTAAATTTTGCGTAAAAATGATAGTTATACTCAAACTCCGAAATGGGTTTTTTATCTTCCATTTCTTGCCTAATATTTTTAAAGTCATCAAATGAAGTTTTAGGTGATATTGGGAATGCATAAAATAAAGCTGAATGTTTTCAGTTAGCCATCGTCTAAAGTTGTGAAAAGTAATCCAGGCTCTGAAACGATTTTCATTCTGGTTTGGACTTGCTCACCGAGACAAATTGTAATGTGTTATTTGCTCCTAAATGAACTTGGTTAGTGGGAACAGTGCCAACTCATCTATCCAAATTATGTGCTTATTTATGGTCACCAAGTTGTATGCAAAGTTTCATGAAGCATTTCTTTTGAGTCTTCACTATTTTAACACCATAAATAAAAGCCATGGAATATCAGGAGACTTGAGATCTGAGATTACAGAAGCAATGAATAATGGGTCCATACTGAGCTGTTTCCTGGCTGCCATTTCCATATATGGCAACTTTAGGAACAAAAAACATTTTAGTAACTGCTGAATGAATAGAAAAGAAGGGCAAGTGTTAGAATGACTGAATTGAACCCTGAAGAAGAAGAAGAATAAAAATGCACCTTCCTCCCTTCCTTGTAGAGGCAGAAGCCTCTAGGTGTAGGATATCACCTGTGTTGTCCCACTTGATGTTTTCATGAGTTTTGCTAAACCGATTTTTTTTCTCTTCCTCTTTTATGCTTTGTTACAAAGGATGGCTTGATGGTTAGTGGAGAAGGGTTATATTCAGTAATGAAGTTGCTTTAAAAACAAAAAAATTTTCATGTTTTTAATGCTTAAAAATGTAACAACAAATAAAAAGAAATGGGCTAAGAGTAAAGAGACCTGAGATCTAGACACTTAAGAAAGAAAGCACTGGATTTGGAGTCAGAAAAACTGGATGAAATCCTGACTCCAGGGCCAGTGCTCTATCCACTGTGCCACTAGCTGCCCCCTTTGTTTTCTTTTAAAAGAGGAGATGAGGATATAACAATCTGACATTCCCCAGAGATTCTAGTCCTTCTTCCAGAAGGCCAGCAAACCATTCACTAGGGATTCCTTCATTGGAAGGACCAACCTTGACCAAAGCACTAAAATTAATAGACATTCCCAGTCTCATGGGGACTCCTTGTCCCTGATCCCTTCAGAAGCCTAAAGTCTCTAAGAAAAGAGTAGGTCTGGACCTGCGAAGACTCAAAAAGATATTTTGGGTATGCAATTGTCTTGGGAAACCTCCAAAATTCAAAATTTTAGTTATTAAATTATTCCCAAACATTATCCCTTGTCTCTGATTCAATCCAACATGCATTTTGAATGCCTACTATGTGCTAGGTATTGTATATGCAAAAAGAAACCAATCTCTATCCTCAAAAAATCCTCCTGGGAGATACAACATATACATGAATAAGAAAATATAATGTTTATTGGGGATGGAGAGAAGGATATAGTGCTGGACCAAGAGTGAGGAAGACCCAAGTTCAAAGCCAGGCTCAGACATTCACTATCTGTGTGACTCTGGGGAAGTCTCTTAACCTCAGTTTACCTCAGTTTCCTAGTCTGGAAAATGAGGATAATAATAGTACCTCTCTCCCAGAGTTATTGTGAAAAACAAATAAGGCCATATTTGAAGAATATTTTGCAGAACTTAAAGCTCTATATAAATGCCAGCTATCATATGATTTGCTTTGAATATATATTTGGGTTTACGTATTGGATGCATATTACTTATCTATTCCCGAAAGATTGTAAGCTTCTTGAGGGCAGGGCTTGTCTCATTTTTTTTTTTTTTCTTTGTAGCCTCAGCACCTAGCACACAAAGTAGGGGCTTAAAATAATATTAACTGACATTGAAGGAATTAGGGATACGCAGGTAGGGGATGGTGCTGCTGGTAGCTGGGGACCTAAATAGATACAGGATATTGTCCCTAATCCCTGGGGGCCTGAATTCATTTGGGTGAGATACACCACACACACAAGGAGATAACCAACTTAACAAATAATAATACGCGCAGTTCTAAGTGGCATAGCACACTTGCTTCTAAATAGGCAAGAAAATGGAGAAATATTTTAAAAAATTAAAATAAAATAGTGGTACAATGAAAAGTCTCTTAATGTTTTTTTTTTCCAGCCAAGAGTTCAATGATGTGCAGATAATTCCCAGATCTAAATATCTAGCCCTAGTCTCTCTGAGCTCCAACTCCAAATCACCAACTGCTTTTTGGACATTTCCAACCAGATGTCCCATAGGCATCTCAAACACACCGTGTCCAAAACAGAACTTCTGATCTTTCCATTCAAGCCTTCCTTCTTTCTGAACTTCTCTGCTTCTGCCAAGAGCACCCACCCATCCCCCAAGTCACACAGTTCTGTTCTCTCATTGTCATTCCTTGCTCCTCACTGTCCCTTACTCTATGTATCAAATCCATTACCTCCTATTGCTATTGCTACATTTATAAGCCCTCTCACACACATTTCCTTTTCTCTATCCATAGAGCCACCACCCCAACTAAGGCCCTCATCATCCTTTGCCTGCACTATTGCAATAGCCTTTAAACTGGTCGTCCGGTCTCAAATCTTTTCCTGCTCCAATCCATCCTCCACTAGGCTGCAAAGGCAATTTTCCTAAAGAAAAGATCTAATCATCTTACCCTAGTGCTCAGTGAACTTCAATGGCTCTCTATTACCTCTAGGATCAAATACAAAGTCCTCTATTTGACTTTTAAAGATCTTTTGTTTATGAAGTTCTTTTCCCTTTGCAGCATCTCACACTTTGCTCCCATCCACACAGAAAGCCAGACTGGCCTCTCTGCTGGTCCCCACAAAGGATACTCCATCTCCTGATTATATTTGCACTGGCGGTGCCCCAGGTTTGGAACGCTTTGCCCTTTAAACTCTGCCTCTCAGTTTCCCTGGCTTCCTTCACAGCACTACTTGAATCTCGCCTTCTGCAGGAGACCTTTCCCTCCCCAGACTGCTAGTGCCTTCCCTTCTCAGATTACTTTCTCTTCACTCTATGGGTCTCAAGTGCATCTAGTTATTTACATGTTGGCTTCCCCATCAGAGTGTGAACTCTTTGAGAACAGGAACTGTATTGCCCTTTCTTTATATCCATGATGCTTAGCAGCGTGTCCATAACATAGTAAGGGCTTAATAAATGCTCATTGACTAACTGACTGAGATAGCCCCATGGCATGCCCTCCAGATCAATGAGTCTTCATGTCATCATACTTTACTTTTCAAAAGCTGCCTCACAGACTGGGGACTGTGGTCCAAATTGAGAATCTAGAATAATCTGTTCTTAAGTTGCCAATTCATGACCCTTCGCCAATCGTTTTCTAATTGGTAGACTGGCACATTCTATCATCCATCCTATTTTCTCTCTCCTTGACCTTGTGTAGAAGATGCTGAGGTCTCAATGCATGCTTAGTGATGGTAAGTGATAAGGAAAATCGGCCCTTTGTTGGAAGAAGAACATGATAATGAATAGGGCACAATCCCATATTTAGACTCAAGAGATCAGGAGTTTGTTACCAAGTACCTATATGCCTTTAATCAAATTGTTTCATCCTTTTGGGACTCAGTTTCCTTAGCTGTAAAATGGAGAATGCAATTCTTATACAACCTACTTCTCAAGGTTATTGTGATGAAATTATATTGTAAACTCCAAAGTGCTACAAAAATTAGAGCTGTTAGTGGACAAACTAGTCCTGGCTATGAGAACAAAGATAGTTTCATTCATAGAGCAATCAGGCAGGTACCATCCTGGCTATAAGAGAACCTTGTAATCTTATTTTTCCATGTTTTTCACATTCTCACATGGGTGCAGTGAAAAGAACAAATCAACAGTCGATTAACAAACATTTGTGAAGCACTAACTATGGCCGGACACTGCCCTAAATATAGGGGATACAAGGAGAGCCCATCCTCTCCCCAAAAAGAGAAGTGGGTTTAGAAAGAGAGGACCTTGGTCAAATTCCACCTCTTTTGCTTACTGCCCACGTGATCTTGGATAAGACAGTGAGCTTCTCTGTCTTGATTTCCCCCTCTGGAAAATGTGTGTGTCTGTGTGTGTGTGTGTGTGTGTGTGTGTGTGTGTGTGTGTGTGTGTGT